GTTTCCATTGCTTCTTATATTAGTTTATCCCCTGTCTCCAGCAGAGTTTTGCTATAACTCTCTGTGTATGGTCAGAAACACCCTCAAAATGAGGGTGATGGGTGAATTTGATGAATGAAGATCCGTGACAAATATCATGTCTGTTCATTAATTTCTCTACTTTAGTTCACAACCTTATTATTTAGCACTAAAATAATTTCAAGCCCAAGGAGAGATGTAGCTCATACTGCTGTTTGCATGTGAACTAGAATAAGATGACCTTTCTGATTCTACGAATTAGGAAAAAAAGGCTCAATCTACATAGATGCAGAACATTTCTCAGGCTGGAGAAGCACAGCACAACTTTGTGAGAGGGTAGACCTCTGGCTTTTGGTAGGAGAAAGCCTCCTTTGCCAGGATGGAGGGCTGGCAAGCTGAATGCAGGGATGGGATTTTAGGTCTTACTCAGTCCCTCAGCTGACAGAGCCCCTGTGGAAATGTCTTCTAGCTGAGTCACCTTGATCCCACCCTGCCACTTTCGTGGCTTTCAGTTGGAATGATATTTGCTAAAATGTAATCTTGTACCCAATTTCAAACATTTTTATGTTTCCCCAACAATTTGAGGGTACAATTCGAAGTCTTGAGGGACAGTGTCTTGAGGCCTCCTGCTCCTTGACCCCCTTTCCTCATGCTGCAGGTCCTTGAAGGTGTACGTAAGATCAGTCCCCTCCTGCACCACTGTCCTTTCTCTTCCCCAGGTGATCAGACTTCTGATTTATACAAGGCTCATCTGACGCATCTCAAGGAAGCTGTCCTTGCCTCAATTCTAGACTACACTCGTACTTGATCCTGTGACCTCCCCTCTTGATGTGACACTGCAGCCCCACGAGTTTTGAGGTTTTGGACAACTTGCATTCCTGCCCTGGAAATTGTGGCTGACTTTTGTGTATGTCCTTTCCCCTGTATCAGTACGTAGGCACCTGCCTTAGGCTTGTTGAATAAACAAGTGAAGATGTGGTGCAGATTTTGCCAATAAACAAACAAAAACCCCCAAGCACCAAAAAACCCAAAACAATAATAAAATCCCCAGCCCCCCAAAAGCCCCCCAAAACCCCAAAAGTTTTTGCTGCTTTTTGAACATGAGTTTTCTATCAGTTAAGTTTCCCCCCTCCATATTTTAGTCGTGAAATGACTATTCCTTAAGGACGTTGATAATGTATGGAAAGATAATTAACTTATTTTTCTTCCCAAGGTTTTATTCTAAGGATATTTTGTTCTGGTTATGGAAGGTGATTGAAAAATATGGTGGATATTAATAAAAGTGTGGAAAAGTTATTACAGTAAAAGTATCATTTATCTTCTTCAAAATGCCTTTCTTGCTTCAAATACATTTATTCCATCATTCTTGACCCTTTCTGAAGCAGTTTTGAAGTTCTCTTTCATCAATGTCCTTGCGCTGTATAATAAAAAATACAGTGAATGCAGCTTCTGAATCCATCCAGTGGAAAGGTAGGCTTGTGAAAACACTGTGATGAGCTCTCATCCACTTGGCATTTTCGGCTCTTTCCCAAATAATGTATTTGGCACAGCTTTTCACTATGCAACTTAGACTCATAGTAATCCTCCTATTTTCTGCCTCCCCAGTGCTGGGATCACCAGTGTGTGCCACTGCACCTGGTAGCCAGCTCAGGGCAGCTGGGGACAGTGCCGGCACAGCACGTGGTGCTGGGGATCGAATCCTGGTCCCTGCACTTGCCTGAGCAGGAGCTTAGTCCATTGAGCTATCTCACTAGCCCTAAAGGTAAGGGTTTGGAATCAACTAAGAACCTCAAGACAGTCTTGATGACCATGCAATTATGACACTCACGTAAGCGGACACCCAGAACTGCTTCAGAAGGTGGTAAAAGGAAGTGGGATAAGTGTTCCACAGGAGGGGGTGGGGTTTAATGGCAATATATCTTTTATTGCAGAAAAGTTTTAAAAACTTAAACACACACCATGATTTTTTTTTAAAAATCACACCTCATATGTATTTGATCTTTATGAGATGCCTTAAAATGCTATCAGTTGTCCTGCTGGCCCTGCCCCTGGGGCATGCTGAGATAGTAATTGAGACTGGGTATGGTGGTGCGTGCCTATAATCCCAGCACTTGGGAAGCTATAAACAGGAGAATCACTATGAGTCCAATCTAGTAGCGAGACCCTGAAAACTCTGTAGACCCTGTCATGAAAAAAAAAAAAAAAAAAAAAAAAAAAAAAAAGAAAAGAAAAATGTTCATCTGTGATATCTTTGATGGTCTCTAAGTGGTGTTCTACTGCTAGACCAGTCTGGTGATAAATTTTGAACTGCTCATATGATCTGTCAGAAAGTTACTTGGAACTTCTAGCCCAGTTTCTGTGTGTGTGTGTGTGTGTGTGTGTGTGTGTTTGCGCGTGCCTGTGCTCATGCATTCATGTGTCATCTGTGTATATTCTCTTCCTACAAAAAAGTGAAAAAGTAGAGATAATTCAGTCAATAGAAAAGAAACAATTTGGTATCTCTTACACCTCAGAAATTCCACTAGACCAAATATGATACTCAGAGGCTGGGCAAGGGAAAGAAGAAGTGTGCCACTGAGCTGGGAATGGCGGAACATACCTGCAGCACCTTGTAACCCTCTCCTCTTGCAGAGACACCCTAGCCTTGGGATTTTTGTGGCTGTGGACATCCTTCCCTTCGGTCCTGGAAACTGTGCATGTCCTTTCCCCACCACTAGGATGTAGGCCCAACCTAAGCAGTTTAGCTACTTAAAGAGACCCAATTTCAAAATTAAAATAAACAAAAAGGACCAGGTATGTAGCTCAGTGAGAAGACCCTACAATCTACCCCAGTGTTCCCTCCATCTGTGCCACAGATGTGGAGGTCTAGCTGTTGGTTTTCTTGGGACAGCACAGAACTGAAATTCATTCTTCTGTACAGTTCTTACTGTCTACAAAGAAAGGCAGTATCTGTCAATTTTTCTTTGCAGAAGTCATGATGTTAACAGAGAGAAGGAATGCCATAAAACTACAAATTTGTGTCCCTCACATGTTTATCTTTTTCATCATTTTAGCGTCATTATAAAATATTTTCTGTGATTTTCAGCATGAATAGTTTGAACTGCTCCTTTTTTTGCTTGTCTCTATTTTCTGTTAGCAGTTTTTAGACTTTTTGCTTTTTACTCTTTGTCATTTTTTGAAAATTGTTGCCTAAATAGTTACTGATTTTGTTGCTTATTTATGACTAGTAAGCATTACATAAAATTTGGCTCCATGCATTAATTTTTCATTCAATTGTTGTCTTCATTCCATGTATGTTGCACATACTGTGCTTAGGGGAGTAACTATTACAGAGCTGCTTAAATGGAACTTGATTTCTAGTTTTGGCTTCATGTCTCTGATATAGCTACTATATCTTATGGATAAAAGTTGACTCTTCTGCAGACTAATATGTTTTCTAAGTGCAATGCACAATTGTAACAAGGGTATTAATTTAATCTTAATTGATTAATACTGCAACATTACTTTCCATTTACTACAAACTATTCCTCTTCTGAATATGCTTACACCCATTTTTCCTGCAACAAAGTCATGTAGAACATCGCATATCACTGATACCTAAAGTAGTCCTCTTTCCCTTCTTTCCTTAAATATCTATTAGGTGCTCGGTGGGAGATCAGAGCCACATACTCTTCCATGTTTTAAACAGGCCCTATCCAGCATTTCCATGTTGTGCAGTACAACACCAACAGATGTCCTAAATACGTGGCAGTTTGGCTGGGTGCAGTGGACCATGCCTGTAATTCCACCTGACACAGGAAGATTGCAAGTTTGAATCTAACCTGGGCTACCTAATGAGACCCTATCTCAAGGTAAAAATATAAAGGGATGAGGGCACAGCTTGGTGGTAACATGATTTCCTCACATGGACAAAGCCCTGGGTTTAAACCCAGTGCTGGAAAAAAATTGACAATTTGAACTTGGCGTTAAAATATTATCATTTATTTTACTTCCTTATGTGTCTCTACAATGAAAAGAAATGAGACTTTTTTGTGGAATATTTTTACTTTCCAGTGTTGAGTCTGGCTATTATCTCAAAGAACAGAAAAATCCTCAACGGTTATTTGAACTTATGCAAAAACTTTCTATGTGGAAACTGGAAGGGGGAAAACAAGAATTTTCTTCCATCTTCCTCACAGAAAGTTAAATATATAAGTGTTTATTAAATTTTCCTAAAATGATTAAATAATAAAAAGATGGTCATGTTGTCTAATACAACATTTGACACTTAGAAAATACTTCATAAATACTACTTTATTTATTTTAAGGTAATGGACAATATAACTCGAGGATCACACTATATTTCCACCTAGTCCATCATTCTAATCCATTTCTTCTTTTGTCTTTTTCATTTCAAGAATGACCCGTGTGTGATTTATTTCTAAACCTGTAAAGTGGGCTCAGGACTTAGTTACATAATACAGCAAAACCAAGGAATTTGGGACAGCATTTTCCTTATATCTCTTGTATGTTATGACATGCTTCAAGGAAGGGATGTGTGAAATCCTCCATCAATGGGTGGTAATCTTTATCATCATCAAATGACCCACAGATTGGTTACTGGTGTAATGAGAAATTAAGAAAATAGCACACTTCTAGGACTGTCATTTCACAGTCACTCAAATCAGAACTGGAATGCCACAAAAACAACTCCCTGTTAGCCCAGAGGGAAAAAAAAAAAAAAAGAAAGAAAGTAAAGGGGAAATTCAGATTAGTCACAAAGAAGTTCCCCCGCCTGCCTGCAGAAGTTGCAGAGTTAAAACTGAGAGAGTCCTCACTGTTCTTTCAATCGTCTTTTGTCTCAGGTCCTGGCACTTTTGTCTTCTGATTGAGAGGCTTTGCTTTAGCTTCATCTCCTCCTCTGTGGTGAAGACATCAGGCTTTCCCCAGGTTCCTCCTTGCCACAGCTGCAGCTGCGTCTTCCTTGCATCCAGATTATGAACATGGAGGGGGATCAACCCCAGGACGAGAATGGGGGAAATGCACCCAAGCCTAGATGCCAGTGGAACAAGCTACTGCTGGTGGCTTCTGTGATCCAAGGGCTGGGGCTGCTTCTGTGCCTCACCTACATCTGCCTGCACTTCTCTGCTCCTCAGGTAAGGGGCATCTCTGTGTACTTCTCTCTCTCTCCAACTCATGCTGATGGCACTGCAACAGCTGCAGTCGTTTGGCAGAACTCTACTGCCAAAATTGTTGAGTCTCCCTCACCACTGTAAGTGATTGTTAAGTGTGGTCAAACACCTTTCTGTCTTTCCTTTCCTTTCTTCTTTTTCACAGTGGTGGTTCTAAGGCACAGGAAGGACAGGGCAGAGGCACCTCCTTGCAGATTTTTTTTCTCTTTCTTTGCAATGAGAAAACCTTGGGGTTCCTTGATCAGCTATTGCTTGGAAATTTTGAAAGACTGCTATTCAAGCTTGATCTAAAAGGAGCAAGGAGAGCAATTGCACTTTCCTATCATATTCACAGACTCCACAGACATTTATGGAGGACTGCTTTTAAAAATGTTAAAGGTGTCAGTAGTAAGCTCTTTTACATGGCTAACCCTGCACCTTACAGGCAGTAATGTTTGTGTGCCTACAGGCCTACACATTCAATCCAACAACTTAATCAGCAGTTTCTCACAGCCTGCCTCTGCCAATCACAAGTTAAAGACAACTTTTTGTGAGTTTCCACTAGGTGATGTTGTAAGTGAGCAGATTGCTAGTATTTTCTACACGTAAATGTCTTTCCATTTTTCATCTCTTTATTTTCATCCCATGCTTTCTTCTTTTTGCCTTCTTGTTTTCTCTCTTTTTCTTATTTGCTGATTCTGCTATACAAACATCACTAGGTATTTAAGAACGTTCTTTCCTGTAGCTGTGCACTGAAATGAAATTAGCTCTGCAGTCTCTCCAGGCCCCTTGTTGGGGCTGCTCTCCTGATTCTCGTTCCCCTAGCTGACTGCTTTGGGTTAGAAATGTTCTTCCCTGGCAAGAGAAACACACTGGAGACTGACTTTTGGTGGCCATAACAGAGAAATGACATCAGGATAAGCTGAAGAGTCCTAGTAGATGCCTGGGCTTGTCCTTGCCTACAGGAAGTGGGGGTTTTCTGCACATGGGCTGGTGGGAGTGTGTGTGGTCGTGATCACTCAACCACAGCAAGTGCTTGTGCTCCCCAGATTCCAGACCTGTGGCCGGTGTGGCACTCAAGCCTGCAGATCAGTTAGGACAGCAGCACACCTGTTCTCTTCTCACTGGTACATACATTCCCTGGGAGGAGTCCTCTGGGTGGACTTAAACAAAGTGCTCTGGGGAGAGTCTGTAGGGGAAGAGTTGTGTCTCCATGGCAGGATGCTCAAAACACAGACCGGAATTAGGCTTTTCTGAGAAGAAAGCAAACAAAGCAACCAAAAATAGAACTGCTGAGTGAACTTAGCAGGCTTGTGAGCCCGGAGAGTACATTTCAAATGACCCTGCTGCTGGGTGTTTCCTTACTCATGGGATGATAAAGACAGAACAGTTATTCCAGACAAGGCTAGCCAAGTGCACAGGGGCTCTCCGGACAGGAAAGAACAAAAGGTGAGACACAGATGGAGGGCCTGTTGCTGTCCTGGGCCACGTTGGACCATCAGTACCCGGGGATGTGAGAGGAAGCAGGCTCCTTTCTGCAAGTTATCCAGCACTCTGCAGCAGAGCTGGGAAGCAAAGCTGCGAGATGGCTCCTAGAACCACAGTGAGCCGATCTCTGAGAGAGAGTTAGCTTTCTGTAGTGATGCTGCAGAAGTGGAAGCAAAAGCATATACGGTATGTTGGAGCTCATGGCTCACTAAACAGACCCATGTATACTCAGTGAACAAAAAAATTGCGGGGAGGGGTTCAGATAGTTGAGATTCTTCTCTTGACATTAACTTTAAATGTTTTCTTATTTCCAGCTAGACCATTTTAACTGATGTAATTTCTTTTTTTTTTTTTTTTTTGGAATTTGGAAAGCCATTTATTACTGAGCTCAGGGCCCCCAGTCTGCTCTCATGCAGGAGAGGACCGAAAAGCAGCTATCCCAGGAAGCAGGGGGCTTTTAAAACATGAAACCACATTTGTTTGGTAAACAAATTCATTCACACCAAACAATGCTTTCAGGGTCATTGTGACCACTACCCAAACTAAATTTCCTGGGGCTTTGTTTTAGTTTCTGGTTATCTTGCACCTGAGTAAGTACCTGCAGGCAATCTTGCATAGCCCAAGGTTACAAGAAGTTAAATCCCATTTAGTTTCCTTAGGAAGCCATCTCTGTAATCTAACTTTGTTTCTAAGGATTGGTCTGATGTAATTTCTGATCCTGTTATAAGACCCCAGGCAGCATCTGGAGTCCTACATTTATTCTTATACACTCTGTTATGAGAAATAGAACTCAGGCAGTTGGTGTATATATTCCCTGGAACAGGATGATATAGTGTTGGTGGCTGCAATGTGCATGTGAATGCGTTTTGGTTGAGGGATGGGGAGGTGTTAGTAGTGATACAATTAAGTCTTGACTTCTGGGAATCATTGACTTTAGCGATGTGCACCGAGGTGATCGAAGATGAAATGGCCCCTGTTTACCTGGTTAAATTGGATCTTTTCTAGTGTAGGAGAAAGGTATTTAGAAAACAATCACGTTTGTCCTCTTATTTCATAAATATAATTTTAGTTTTAGAGATGAGCTGCCATGTGAATGCCTGTAAAAAATACCAATATAGTTTCTAACCTCTGTTTGGCAGTCAATTTCTCCCTCCAGTTAAGCTTATTAGTAACTTCTGTTTTCTCAGTGCTGGGTTGAATTTTGTGTACAAACATAAAAAGCAAAAGTTTTTTGTTTTTGAGATGCCAGTAAATAAAACCTCTTACTGGTTCCTCATATAATTTGCTTTCCTTTTGGGGCCTTGATTTTCTATTTTCTCATTTACAACATAAGGCAGGCAGGCTAGATTATTCCTAAAATCTCTTACAGCTTAAAATTCTATGAATATGTTATTTACATATTCATGAAAGAAGTATAAACATTTGAGAAGTATAAAATGTGAGCTAAAGGAGTTTTATGCCAATACATATAGATTTCTTGGGTTTTAGGAAGGGCAGGGAAGGGGACCAAATTTGCACCAAGTAGCTATAGTCTTTTTTTTTTGTACCAGGCATCAAACCTGAGACCTTGCACTCACCAGGCAGCCACTTGTTCTTTGTAGCTATCTCTCCAGCCCTTTTGTACTCATTTTTTTTTTATTCCCTGTACTTGTCTAAATAAACCTATTCTGAGCTAGCAAAATACATTGTCTTGGAAGGAGAATGAAATAGATACCTTAGAAAAATATCCAAAACACATGTAGAAAATTGTATATTGCTCTTCCTAAAATCATTTCATACTGGGTTCTCCATTGGGGCTGTTGTTGGAAATGTCAGGTTGTCAGTCTTATTGGGAATTTTAGCTCGGCACCTATGGCAGAAAAAAATATCCCAAAACTGGACTATAAAGTGAAAAGCTTTTGTAAATTATACTTGTGTGTCCCAGAGCAGTTGAAGACGGCTTCTTCCCTTTCCCTTTTCCTTTTCCTTTCCCTTCCCTCTCTCCTCCTTCCATCTCCATATATCTCTATCTCTGTCTCTGTTTCTGTCCCTGTCTCTTTCTCCTCCATCATCTCCATCTCTATCATCACCTTTAACAGGATTCTCTTTAGGTGTAAGTGATTTTAGTGATAATTCCTTAGCAAGTTCTACTGTCAAAGATTTACATTCTTATCACTCATTTCTGCTGGGAAAGACAGAACTGGAGGCACATGGTGGGTCCACCAGTTCTGTGTCACCGAGAGTTGGAATTAGAGTAAGCAGTTCTGTGATGAAGTTTCACGCTAGAACTTCAATTTTGTATCATTGAAGCAAAGAGGAATTTGCTTTAAAAAATTTTGTATCGGATTAGCTCAATTGAAATGTCTGAATGTAAGCCAACTTTTTGTTCTTTTCTTTTTCAATCTGATTTGTTTTTAATTAAGTATTATGGTCACATACAAATTTGTGCTCATGTTGTACCTTCCTCACTTTAGTCCTTCTAATGAGCTGACAGGAAGCACCACTACCAATCACACATACAACAGTAAAAGTTTTAGTCTTGAGTTTTTGAATAGCTGTTTAATTACTACCATGAACAGTAACTCAGTCTGACCTAAATAAATCAAAAGTAGAACTTGCTGTTAGATCATGCTAACTCTTAAAAGGATCTGAATTTACAGATCAACTACAAAATGTGAGAAATGTTAAATATTCTTTTTTTTTTCTTTATTTGGTATTATACATACACCACACTAAAATTCCTTTCAATAAGTAAAAGGCAACACTTTTTAGATATAGGGAATTCTAATTAAATTGGCATAGTCAAGACTAAAAGTATAGACATAGCTTTCTTGTCTTCAACCACTCCCTTTAACAGGCTAATAAACACAAACTGAAACAGTGGAGTCTTGCATGGTTTTGAGACAATGAAAGATTCTCTCAGTATTTAAACATATTCACATAACTAGTTATATAAATCTAAATATAAAACCAACCTTCAGCAGTTTTGAGATGATATGCTCAATCTTTGTGAAAAGTTGAACGTTACTAATCAAGTCCAACCATCTATTTAGAAGTGAAAACAGTGATAGTATTTACTGAACTGGAATTACTATCAAACCTTGAAGAAAAAAATGATATTCATTTAACTACAAGCCAATTTTATTTAAATCAGGACTGTCCAACAAAAATATTCTGTCAGCCACTCATGATCTGAATTCTGGTGTATGAGATTAAATTATGGTACACATACAAAATCCATGAGACATTTCTGTTCTGTAATAAATAAGGCAGTGACTATTACTCATTAGTAGCCTTTTTGAGGTAAGCTATTAAGTCTGCCCTTTCTCCCTTCTTGATGTCAGCAAAGATCATTTTTGTTCCTGGGATGTACTTCTTGGGATTCTCCAAATACTCCATCAATATATCCTCTCCCCAGGTGATACCTTTGTTCTTGTTGGCATCTGTGTAAGAGAAGCCAGCAGCCTGACCTGTCTTCTGCCCAGAGACCATGGAGATCTGGCCCAGTCTTGTGCTTG